CTGTTTTCTTTACTCCCCTCTCCCTGTCTCTTCTTGCTAACCATTGTAGTAAGTGCTCTTTCATCCATCAGAGACCTTTGACATGGGAACAGTCATCAGGTGACCTTGGCTGTGTGGGGTATTGGCAGGGACTGATTTCCTACATCTGTCAGAATCCCTGTGTTAAGAGGCTAGGAAGGAAGCATGGTTTGAATCGCTTCTTCTGGGCGACAAAATCAGTTAACAGAAATGATCTACCTCCTGATTATGGCCAGCAGGTCGAGGGAGGTGATTCTGCCCCTCTACTCTGCTCTGGTGAGGCCTCACCTAGAGTCCTGCATCCAGCTCTGGAGCCCTCAGCACAAGAAGGACATGGAAGTGTTGGAGTGGGTCCAGAGGAGGGCCACAAAAATGATCCGGGGGCTGGAGCACCTCTCCTATGAGGCCAGGCTGAGGGAGTTGGGCTTGTTCAGCCTGGAGAAGAGAAGGCTGCGGGGAGACCTGAGTGTGGCCTTTCAATGCCTAAAGGGGGCCTATAGGAAAGATGGGGAAAATCTTTTTAGTAGGGCCAGCTGTGACAGGACAAGGGGTAATGGTTTTAAACTAAACCAGGGTAGGTTTAGACTAGATATAAGGAAGAAATTCTTTACAATGAGGGTGGTGAAACACTGGAACAGGTTGCCCAGAGAGGTAGTGGAGGCCCCATCCCTGGAAGCATTCAAGGCCAGGTTGGATGGGGCTCTGAGCAACCTGATCTAGTTAGCGGTGTCCCTGCTCACTGCAGGGGGGTTGGACTAGATGACCTCTAGGGGTCCTTTCCAGCCCAAAACATTCTATGATTCATCTTCTGGTGAGTGAGGTCAGGTTCCTTGGCAAGTACTGGACTCTTTTGTAGTTTGGTCATCTTCTGGAAGACCCTGTGTTGCTGTTGTGAAACTTCCCTGTTTCTGTGACTTGAGACTTTGTGATGTGTGCATTTGTCTAGCCTGCCGCGCTAGACGCAGACATCACTGCTTCCCTGATGAGAGGGAAAAAAAGGGTTCTGTAATATTTTTGAAGAAAAGATTAACTGGATGAATACTTTTATTTTTAATTCTCCATTTTTCTTATGTGTTGTTAGTTTTTGGGAATCCTTTACCCTCTGGCATCTACATATGATTCTATTTTTCACCCTCTCATGTCAACAGATTATGCAGGTATGAGCAGCCTGTGTGGGCTCTGCTCAGCTGCTTGGTTGAAGCTGAACTTGTGATAGTAATGGCGATGTTAGATGGTGTGTCAGGACCAGCAGCCTGTGGAACAAATGGGATCTCCTTTTCTCCAGTACTGGGTTCCTGTTACCTGCTCTTGGAACTGGCAATTTGGGAACCTGCATCCTGCCTTCAGATGGAGGGCACTCACATAGGACATCTTTGAAGCAAAGAGGGCTCTATACTGTCAGGAAGGTGGAGGTATCAGATGGCATCTGATGTTTGCATATCTTCATGATGAATGCTAATACTATGTGGATCATATTTATGAACCAAAGTGGAGAGGAGGCCAAGAAACTTTTAAAATCCTTGACATGAGCTAAAGGTGTTGGAGTTACTTCTGAATAGATGCCATTTCATGGGCTGGCTGAATGGTGTTGGAAAAGGCAGATCGTGTTTTTTAAGCTGACAGTCCATGGTAGTTAGCACTGTATTAGAAAGCAGAGCATTTTAACTTGTGTGTCAGCAGAGTAAACCACGGCATCAGAGCTGCCGCTTGCAGTATCCTTCCTGGTCAGGAAGGCTCCCAAGGCTCTGCAGGAGGGTAGGTAAGCAAAACGTTAGGGTGAAAGGGCACTGGGTGCTCTTGCTCTTCTGCTGCTGGGTATTGCTTTTGTTTCTTCCCGTCAGCATCGGTATGAAGTGGGTCTGGGCTGGAATTGAAAGAGTTTTGGTGTATTCAGACTTTTCTTAATCCTTTTTGATTCCCGTCATTGCTGCCCCCCTCCACACTTGAAGCCTAATGTTTTGAGCCATTGCTAATTATTCCCATGCTAGGTGGTAGGGCCCACTGTCATCTTTCCTACAGCTTTTCTGGGTTTTGCTGTGCTACTGTTACTCCCTGAGCTTTGTTACCTCAGCAGATTAAATCCCAGGCAGATTTTGTTCCAGCATTGCTCTGGGCCGTCATGAGGAAGCAGCTCCCTTGTTAAGTTAATGACCTGCGTCCTGCCTCCAAGCCTTTCTTTTGCTGTACAGCCCTAGGGTGATGTACGGCGTCAGTATTTATGAACTGTCTCTGTCCTCCTGTCATGGTTCCTCACCTAAGGAGGCAAATAGTGTTTTACTGTCCTTGAAGGCTCTTTCTGCTGCCTCTGCCAGTCTCTGCCAGCTGAATTGCTACTTCTTTCCCTTTTCATAATGTATCTGACAATATTCCTTTCCTCAGGACAAAGAAATAGCACCAATCAGCTCATTTATGTTTTATTTTCTGATGTAATTTCCTGCCCACATCTTTGCATGGAATTTTATTGTTCACTATTTTTCGCTTCTACCTGCAGACGTGTTTGCTCTTCCATTTTCATGGCCAGTGCTCTCAGCCTGCTGGTGGCTGTGTTCCTCCTCTACAAGAATTTCATTTGTGCCGCTCTCCTCTCTCTCTGCTTAGAGTTTCTTGCAGCGATTCAATGACCTTTCAGGTGCCAGAGGAAGGAGAATGCTTTTTCGTGCACACCAAGCATCACCAGACACGACCTTATTAGCACATTCAGCTTTCCTTGAAGTTTCTCCATCTGTTCCCTCTTCACAAGGTCTCTTCACAGACTTTTGCCCGTGTCCTGGGCCTCAGCTCTTTTTTATGTGCCTGTCCCCTGCATTCACCTCAAACAGTCTTGTGCAGTGAAGTGAAAACTGCCTTGCACTGGAAATCCAAGTGTCTGTTTAAGACACTGCCTGTCTTGTTACCAGTCTGGAATGGAAATCTTTTCTTCTAGGAAATACTCTTCTTCCTTGCGTTTTGTAATGCCGCTGCTGCTGGTTTCTGCCAAGTGCTCAGGAGGGAAATTTTCTTGTAAACACAAAGTTTTATTGCATTGAAGTTATTACAAAGCCAACTAAAACTGCGTGCTTGGAAGAATTTTTATTTTTTTTCAGTGAATAATTTGAAGAACATAGTTCGTAAAGGTGATGTGTCTCTGTTTTCATGCAGGAGGAACAGTATGTTGTGCCTGAAACACCTGCTGCACTGGTACTCTAACTGTACTTGCTTGTTTGCAGCATTATGCCGTGCTGAGTGCTCCTTCCAAACCCCTGCAGTTAGATGCAGTAGAAATGCTAAAGAAAGGGAATTGGTCAAGGGACCAGCCCAGAGAGCTTTCAAATTAAGGCAGGAAAAATACAGGAAAGTACAGGCAGAAAGAATAAAGAATGAAATCCTTTCAGGAAAGGTACTGGCAGTGGTCTCTGCACATCTGTGCTACTCTCAATTTTGATTTTGTGTCTGCATGCATGTGGAAGGGTGCCTTAGCAAAGGAGAGTTGCAAGGAGGATGAGGGGAGAGCATTGAGAACATTTGCAAAAGCTGTTCCATATGAGGTAGGAGCATGTGCCAAATGCTAGTTTGAAACATTCCCAAGACGGTGATGGTAGCTGACGTCATGCACCAATAAGAGGTGCAAACTGACCTCTTGATGCTGGCAGAGAGAAAATCATGATGATGGGAAAAGTCAAGAGAGGTCACCTGTATTTTATGCAGAAGAGAATGGAAGACAGGGAGGGGAGACAAAGGTACCGCTACAGTGACGGAGCAGGATAACGAGCTTTTTCTTGTAGGGATGAGAACAGTGATGCTACTTTGGTCAATACTTGATTACAACGTGTTGCAGTGACTGAGACCCAGTCTAGTCTCAGCTAGTTGATTTAGTTGGGTGAATCGATAGGGAAGGACTGTAGACAGTCATGCGAAGAAGACAACTTGTCCAAGTCAGGGTGTGAAAGTTTAGGAATTGAGTCAAATAGGATTGCTACCTTGTGACTCTGACTGGCATGGAGAAAGTGAAGTTTTCCAGCAGGGGAGAAAAGCAAAAAGTAGCAGGGATAGTAGTGGGGCAATATGAAATTAAGAGCTTAGTTTCTCCTCTTGGATTAGAATTAGTGCCCAGGTATCCAAGAAACAAAAAAATTTGGGATTTTTATTGTTAGGAGGAAATGTCAGTGTGCTGCCTGCATCAATACAATAGTTACTGCCCACATGTAATATGGGGGAAGGAGGACAGAGCCCTGAGACGCCAGAATACCAGGTGATAGTGGCCCATCCTAGGGGCAGCCCCAGTCCTGCAGGTTAAAGGGGAGAAGGAAAGGGAAAAGATGACAGTTAATGTAGGCAATTGGAGCAGAACTAAGGGGCATAGGTAAGGAAGCTGAAGGAAGGTGACATTTTGAGAAGGGGAATGTGATCAGGTATGTCAGTGGTAACAAACACATCAGGGAAAATGAGACAAGAAACTGGCTCTGAATTTTGGGTAAGGGATTTGGAGTGTAAGAATGAAGTGAGGAAAAGGAAGTAAAGGGAGGGAACTTCATGGAGCTTTACAGATGAAAGGCAGAAGGGAGATCAATGGCACTGGCATGCAGGTGGGGTCAGGAGTCAATTTTTGGGTTGGGTGCTTGTTTGGAGAGTCTGAAAAGGGTTTGTTTTGGGAAATAAGAATGGGTGGGGAGAGATCACAAAACGTGAGCGTGGAGGAAAGAGTAGGCAGATGTGAAAGGAGGGTATTGAAGCGTTAGAGAAGAAGAACGAACAGGAGGTCAAAGATATTTAGAGTTTGTTTTGACGCTGGGGAGGGGTGGGTGTATGTGAAGGACACCCATCTGTTCCTTTGAGATAACGGAAGGAAATAGGTCACTAAGCGAGCACACAAAGTGAAGGGCATGGGGAATTAATAGACTGATTGGGTTGAGGGAGAACTTGGCTGTGTGCATGCATTTGATTTGTGAAGTGTCATATTTGCTACATGGTCTGTAAATCTCCATTTCTTGATTATGTTTTTGCAGTGCGGCTCCATGACAGTATTTCAGAAGAAGGTTTCCATTACCTCGTCTTTGATCTGTAAGTGTCTGTCTTTGGCTTTGATGCTTCACCAGTGATACAGGCACGTGGACGGTTGACTAAGAGTGGAATAAAAAGTACCTGCATGAATATAATTCTCCCTTTCTCTTTTGAGACCTGTAGATACTTCTGGCCTTTTTGACAAAAATCCATTGACTGTGTGGTAGGGGATGGACCAGGAAGGCTCCTGGCAGCAGGTGTAAGCATGGGATGGCAAAGGATGGCTATCCTGTATAGGGAGGCTGTTTGACTTTTGTCTCTGAGGCAGCCTGGAGTGGGTCAGAGGAGGGATGTTCTGCCCAAGCTTAGCATCTCCTAAGCTCTGTAGAGCAGCATGGGCAATTCGTGCCCAGTGTGTCAACAGTGTCCTGGACACTGCTGGTGAAATTGCAGTCTGAGAGGTCAGTCATATGGATGTACCAGTACTGGTGCCATGGCGGTGGAGCTCTGCCCTGGCTCCCCTATGCTGCAGGTCCCCACACGGAGGGGGAAAGGGCCCAGATGAGTGGCCACATACATCCCGTGCAGCCTTGAGCTAGGTGTGCACAGACTCTGTAACTTCCCTTGTTTTTTTGCACTCCAGGGTTACTGGTGGGGAGCTCTTTGAGGATATTGTTGCCAGAGAATACTACAGTGAAGCAGATGCCAGGTAAGACTGTTTCCAGACCCTTCTGTGTATGTGCCATGTGTGTTGGCAAGTGGAATGAGTTTCCTGACTACTGCTCTGTGCACGGCTTTGTTCTGACGCTCTTGCTCCCCATCTGGAAAAAACAATTCCTCTTTCTGCTAGTAGCATAAACTATTGTCACCAGTCAGCCTGACTCACCGCAGCTCTAGCCCTTGCTGCTTGCAGATGCTGTGCTCTTTGCTGGAAGACCTGTTGCTAGAGGCTTTGTCTGCCTGACCTTTCTGGTGCGTGGTGACAGGGTGTCCTTAGTGAGCAAATGTAGGGGAGAGCTGTCCTGTGGCTGTAAGAGCACTGCCTGCTTGGCCTCTGTCTGTCTTCTCCTAGTAGAGGTTCCAGTGATGTTTCTGGAACATGTCCAGAGGAGAGCAACAAAGCTGGTGAGGGGTCTGGAGCACAAGTCTTACGAGGAGCAGCTGAGGGAGCTGGAGTTGTTTAGTCTGGAGAAGAGGAGGCTGAGGGGAGACCTGATCGCCCTCTACAACTGCCTGAAAGGAGGCTGTAGGGAGGTGGGGGTCAGCCTCTTCTCCCTGGTAATGGGCGATAGGACGAGGGGAAATGGTCTGAAGTTGCACCAGGGCAGGTTTAGGTTAGACATTAGGAAAAATTTTTTCAATGAAAGGGTTGTCAAGCATTGGAATGGGCTGCCCAGGGAAGTGGTCGAGTCCCCATCCCTGGAGGTATTTAAAAGACGGGTAGACGTGGTGCTCAGGGACATGGTTTAGTGGTGGGATGGCAGGGTTAGGTTAATGGTTGGGCTTGATGATCTTAAAGGTGTTTTCCAACCTAAATGATTCTATGATGTGCCATTGCTGTTGAGCAGACCCATTCCATTTGCCGGTGTCTAGGTAATGGTCAATGGGGCAGAGGGGAGAGGGGGCTTTGAAGGCTATGTTTCTGTGGAATCCCTCTCTGACTGTGAGCTGGTTGACACAATGAGAAGAGGCACGATATGGGAGCAACCTTTATATTTTAATATTAAAAAGATTTAAAGTTATGCCCTTCTTTTTCTGAGTGTGTCCCCTCTCTGCCATGTGTGAGCTTCCCGAAATGGCCTGTGCTTGTCCCTTTGCGGTTTATGCAGGGTGGGTGTTTTGTGCAGCAGTAGCTGAGGGTGTTCTCTGACCCGTCGACATGCAGCATTTGGAATCAAAGCTGAGATTAGGCAGCTCCTGTTCTGCTTGAGCAGGGCCTGGGAGTGGCCTAATGGTGACATTTCTCCTCTGCTTATTCTGCACCCATGTTTTTATCCTAACCCTTGCTGCAGCAGGGATTAGG